CGGCAGGACAGGATCGTCGGCATCCCCCTGGAGCTGGAGCAGCCGACGCTCAGGAACGCGCATGAATCTGAAGTGCCTCCTCCCAATCCTTGGCAAAATTGGACCAGAACCCCCAGTCCTTTCGAAGACAGGACAGCTTTCCCTTCCAAACTGGAGAGCACCCCCACCACCAGCCCTTTGCCCGAGCGGAAAGATCACATCAAGGAGTCTCCTGAAATGACCAGCACCTTTGCTCCAGGAATAGCGTGGGAATATCACGACTCGAATGCTAACAGAAGCCTCACAAACGTCTTTTCCCATCTCCACTGCCGCCCGGATCCTTCCAAAAGTGTCATTTCCATCAGCAAGAGCACAGAGCGGCTGTCTCCCATGATGAGGGATTTAAAAACGAACAAATTTAAGAAGTCGCAGAGTATCGACGAGATAGATGTCGGTACGTACAAGGTGTACAACATCCCCCTGGAAAACTATGCAGCTGGGAACGATCCCATCGGAACCCATGAGAGGGCGGACAAGCTGCTGGGTCCGGAGCACGGCATGCTGAGCATGTCCCGCAGCCAGTCGGTCCCCATGCTGGACGACGAGCTGCTGACCTACGGCAGCGTCAAGGCGCAGCCGCAGCAGAAGCCGTTGGTCACGAAGAAGGTCTACCAGTTCGACCAAAGCTTCAACCCCCAGGGAGCAGTGGAGGTCACAGCGGAGAAGAGGCTTCCGCCGCCTTTCCAGCTCAACCCCGAGTACATTCCCCAGCAGAGTAAAAACCTGCCCCAGGAGCTGGTCAGCCCCAGGGCGTACCACGGCTACCCCCCTGTGGAGCACATGTTCTCCTTCTCCCAGCCCTCGGTGAACGAGGAGGCGGTCGGCGCCCCCTTCCCCAGCCAGGCCTCCCGGCCAGGCTTCCTGAGGAGGGCGGATTCCTTGGCCGGCTCCACGGAGATGTCCATGTTCAGGAGGGTGAGCGAGCCCCACGAGCTGCCCCCGAGCGACAGGTATGGCCGGGCTCCCTACCGAGGGCCCGTGGAGCGCCAGGGCAGCGTGTCGGTCTCCGAGTCTCAGTTCCTCAAGCGGAACGGCAGGTACGAGGACGAGCATCCTGCCTACCAAGAGGTGAAAGCCCAGACCGGGAGCTTTCCCGTGAAAAACCTCACGCAGAGGCGGCCGTTGTCCGCAAGAAGCTACAGTACAGAGAGCTACGGCACGTCCCAAGCCAGGCCGGTTTCAGCGAGGCCTACAATGGCAGCTCTGCTGGAAAAGATACCGTCAGACTATAACTTGGGTAACTATGGCGACAAGCCTTCCGATAACAGTGATATAAAGACAAGGCCTACCCCTGTGAAGGGAAATGAGAGCTGTGCTAAAATGCCCGCTGACTGGAGACAACAGCTACTTAGACATATAGAAGCTAGAAGGTTAGACAGGGTATGTTTGGCATTTCTCTGCAATTAATGCCTTTAGTTGTGTGTTTCGGTATGTCAAACTCTTTGCACGTGCAGTGGTAACCACCAGAATTCCCAGTAATGAAATTCCTGCTTCGGTGTCTGAGGAACCGGCCCGGAAAAGGGGCCTGGGGGGGGCTCAAAAGCAGCTGGAGTGAGGGGTGAGGGGTGAACGAGCGACAAGCGACGCCCCACGGTGCCCGTTACTGACGTGGTGACGGCTGCAGCACTGTCTGAAATCATTTTTAAAACAAACAAACAAACAAAAACACTAAAAAATCCCTCCTTAGCAACAGACGTGGAGGTGCTGCTGAAGCCCACCCACCTCAGTAACGATTTTGGGGCGTTAAAAGACGCTGGGTGCAGTAAAAGGCAATAAAGAAAAGCATCACAGATCAAAAGCCACATCGTGTATTTTGGCTTCCGTGTTGCTGTTAGGGGATTTATAGGTACCTCTTAACTCTGAAAAATATCACTGGGTATGCACTGCCACTGTTTTTAACCAGCAATGTGATTATTACTCCTTTTAGCTGTAGGAAGTTGGGCTTACTTGCCTTCTATTCAACAGTACGAGTCCTATAGTGCATGATTTCAGTCCTGATCTTGAGTTATTTAATGACCGGCTTCATGAATCAGATTTATCTCTTAATTTGAAGTGGTTGTGAAAAATTACTGTCATGAAATGCATAAATTAGTCTCCAAATGTGTCCGTATACCTATTTTATGCTAGATACTCATGAGTCTGGTGTTAATATACTCGTTACCTTCCAGTTGCTTGGATGTGATGCATATTGAAACAATATCATTAAGGATCAAATGGGTAAACGCTAAAAACTGCCTTTGAAGGCTGAAGCTTTTTTCCCTACTTCAGCTTTTTTTTTTCCTTGTGTTGTGTAAAACTGATTGGAAAATACTTAATACCTAGGCAAAAATAGCACCCCCTCCCCCAAGTCAAGACGTTTCTGGTGGAAATAAACACTTCCCAGATGTTTGTTTTAAGAAATACCTTTACACTTAGTTTACAATGTGTGTTTGCTTAAGTCGTGCTTTAACTCCTAGAAAGCTGATACTGGTGGTTTGACCTAGGGAAGTTGAGTCCATCCAGTTCAATTGAGTCCACCTCGTTTTCCCTACTTCAGCTAGTTGAGTCCACCTAGTGAAGTTGAGTCCATCTAGTGAAGTTGAGTCCATCCAGTTAAGTCAGGTCCACAGTAATCCCTGCAGGTACCAGCTAGTTCCCAGCCACGTCCAACGGATGGCGAGCAAAGCTCTGAGCAGCTGGGCTGCCTGGTGGAGGTTTTGCTGATGGGAACACTGGGCTCTGCTGCTCCAGGAGAAGACACTGCCCGTGTGCCCACAGCCCACTGCTGGGCTGTGCAGGACCTGGGCTCACTCAAACTCAGGCCCTGAGCTAGCCAGGAGCAGTCTCCGAGCCCATAAGGTGGCGCCGAGCTGCCTTCTACAGGGTTTTTTTTTTGATGCTTTTTTTTTATGCTAGATACACCTTTTTTTTTTGCGCATCCGTCCCCAAAACTGCTGGGCTGTGCAGGACCTGGGCTCACTCAAACTCAGGCCCTGAGCTAGCCAGGAGCAGTCTCCAAGCCCATAAAGTGGCGCCGAGCTGCCTTCTACAGGTTTTTTTTTTGATGCTTTTTTTTTTAATGCTAGATACACCTTTTTTTTTGTGCATCCATCCCCAAAATTTGGCCGTGTTTGCAAAAATAAAGACTTGTACCGTGTTCTATGCCAGACAAACAACATATCTCATCTGCTGTCAGCGTGGAAGTCTTTTATGGTACCCATTTTCTGTACAACTTAGCGATGTATCCGCTTCCGTGTGACCCAGTGCATGCCTCAAGGAGCTCTCGAGTTCTCGGTACTGTTTGTTTGCTTAAACTAAAACTCTGTGAAATTAACCATATATATGTGTGATATTTGATTCGATGAGCATGTGTGTTCATATCCTGTCACGTGGTTGTTTCCTCTACTCAGACCGCTGCTTACAAACACAACACAGTTAGCCTTGGCATGCTGCACTCTGGAGGGTTTTCAGCAATGCATGCCGGCAGAAGCATGACTTTAAACTTGCAGACTAAATCTAAATTTGAAAACCAAATGCTTCAAGAGCTACCTCTACCGAAAGTAAGTATGGGATAGCCAGCCTAGAGCGGCTTTACACCTTCATTAATAACACTCCTTGCTTTCTCCTGGTTTAGCTTTATGCCTATTCTCCATGCTTCAACAAGACGCAATCCAAAAAGCAACGATGATGATGATGATGATGATGGCAGCAAGGTTTTTCCACTCAATAATTATCTTGCTTTTTGGATTCGGTAGCTCCCGTGGCTGTCATTGCTGCTTCCTGCTCTCGTGTCACAGACCGACGCGAACATTCCCTCCCTGACTGAATCCGTGCAGAGAGGTGGAGGAGGTGTTTTGTTCTGAGAACGTTTGATCGTAGAGAAATCGATGTAGGAACGTTTAATGTGCATTTAAGTGGCCTCCGAGAGACAGGGGATTTCATATTGAAGTTTTAATTAGGGATGCTGTCATAGTGGATGAGCTCTGAGAACATGCCTGCCACACCCAGACTAATTTTAGTTTTCTTGAGTGATGTGTATGGAAAGGAAATTATTTTCTCTTTGTTTTTTTTTTTTAACTCTTTATTTTACAGCTATTAGTGGCATTTTGTTGAGAAGTGCATGCATACAAAATGACATGCAAACAAATGTTTGATGGGAAAGGCACATAGGACAAGCCAGGGAGGGACTTAGAGATCATAGAATCAGAGAACTGTTTTGATTGGAAGAGACCTCTCAGATCCTGGAGTCCAACTGTTCCCCAGCACTGCCAGGTCCCCACTGCCCCGTGTCCCTCAGCACCACATCTCTATGGCTTGGAAACCCCTCCAGGGGTGGGGACTCCACCACTGCCCTGGGCCGCCTGGCACAGCCCTGGGCAACCCTCCAGGGCAAGAAATTGTTCCTCAGGGACAACCTCAACCTCTCCTGGGGCAACTTGAGGCCATTTCCTCTTGTCCTGTCCCTTGTCCCTTGGGAGCAGAGCCCGACCCCCCCCTGGCTCCAGGCTCCTGTCAGGAGCTGTGCAGAGCCAGAAGGTCTCCCCTGAGCCTCCTTTGCTCCAGGCGCAGCACCCCCAGCTCCCTCAGCTGCTCCTCCCCACCCTTGGGCTCTGGACCCTGCTGAAGAGCTGTCAGAGTGCCAGAGCAGAGCTGCTGAGCCCTTGCTCTGTGGTGTCACGTGTGGCCACACCTGAGCCAGGGCGGCAGCAGCCGCCGGTGCCACCGCTGGGACTCTGTATGAACATCATTAACTCTCCCCCTGCATTAGCAGCAGTGGCTGTTGGTACAAATTAGCAACAGCTCTGTGAGTAATTAAAGGCTATCAGAGCACAGATCCAGGCCCTGCGATGTGATCATCTGCACGGTTCACTGACGGGCTGGCCCTGGCCAGCTGGCACCCTCCCAAGCCATCCCTGGCCCAGCAGCTCCCAAAGGAGGCTTCCAGTGCCCCATCTAAGAGCTCAGATCCCAGCCTGTTTAGAAGAATAAGATCATTGAAGGGCAGGAACGTGGCCAGACTCAGGGGGTAGCTGGAGAACAGCCCTCAGCACCACGTGGCCAACACAGGCCCGTGCACGGTGTGCTGGAGCTCCAGGCAGAGCTGTGGTAGATCCACAGCCCACACAGAGGCAGAGATCATTGCTAGGCTTCTCCTGCTGTGACTCACCTCCCATACACCACTAACTTTTTCCACACTTCCCATCCAGCTGGGTTTGGACAAGTCCTCATGTTAGTGTGTGCTTCTCTGTCGTTTGGTTGGTGAGGTCAAAGCTGAACTGTAGATGTGTGTGTGTGCTTGGACACAAAGAGCTTCCCAGTTTTGGTCATACTGTTGTTTTTCTTTCAGTTTGTTGTCTGATGTATCCTAATTCCTGTCACAAGTCCTTGGAAACCAAGTCCCTTTGACATCAGCTCCAGATAATGGTGCTATTTTTCCACACACTCTTAGGAATAAGGTGTTATAAATCACTTTAGGCTGTAGATGAATTTGGATATTAATGTGAGGATGTCTGAGGAAATCCATGGGACTGTTTTGAGTGACATGGTTTGGGGTGTGGTCTTAAGTGAATTATTCTGCTTTCTATTTCACCAGCATTTCATTGCTGCATACCCATATAAAACGTGATGCTGAACTGCATGGGGGGGGTGGGGGGTGTTCTCTTACTGTGCTCTTCAGAAAGCAGTGAAAAACTGTTGTTGAACAAATACTATGAATGTTTAGTATTGTTTATTTTTCTTCCTTCACAAGTTCTAAAGAATTTGCATTTCTTGATGAATCCAGGCCACAGCAGCTCCCTATTTACCTCTACTTCTGCTTTCTTGTGGCCTAGATTCAAGAGAGTAATGAGTGAGGTCTAATTGTCCAGCTGAAGATCAGGAAATCAAGCATAGCAATTACTGATTTTGGAGAATTTTATCACATCGATTCTATTCCATCTATACCATGCTTGAACTGCTGCTTCTCATTTTTTTACCTGAACTTAATAGCTAACATTGTTTGTTTGCAGTCTGCCTGAGCTCTGTCAGGGAATCATGTTGCAAGTAGACAAATTCATTTTACTGCAGAGAATGAAAAGAAAAAGCTGTCAGCACAGAATTTGCCCATTATATTGAGAAAGCAGAAAACACCTTCTGTATTTCTTCTTGTTCCATTTTAAGTGCAAACTCACCTCTGCAGATTAGTCAGGCACTTAGAAAACAGCAGAGCGTTGTCTGCAGTGACAAAAGAAACACTTCTCAGAAGAATGCTTTCAATTCCTGGCATCTCTCTTTTTAAAAGTTTATGATTTGGTGCATTTCATTCTCAGAAGCTCACAGAGCCACCTCCCTTCAGGGGTGAACGTTGACCAGGACCACTTGCACCCCCAGGAGGAAAACCCTTGGGAAGGTGCCACCCTCACCCCCTCTGCCTCTGCCTGGAGAGGGCACCTGGGGGTGAGGGTGGCTCTGGAAGGGATGACTCCCACCATAAAGATGACAACAGCCTTTCTTTTGCCTTGTGTTTTTGCTGCTCCTCAGAGAGGGGATTTTGGAATTGGTACTTTTACATTTGAGCAATTTAGTGCCCTGGTCCCAGATGATGAAACCCCCCCCCGTTTGGATGAGGGTTACGTGGGGGTGTGCAGCCAACAGACCAGGATGGTTCATCTCTGAGTTCACAAAGAGCCCTCCCTGGGCCCAAATTGGGCTCCAGATGCTGCTGTGTGGACAAACAGGGCTTAGTTTGAGCCTCGGGCAGGGTGCCCATCTGGCTACAAAGGCTTAGTTGCCCGTGAGGGACCTGGAGCCACACTGATGGGGTTCACAGAATCATTCAGGTTGGAAGAGACCTTTAAAATCGAGTCCAACCACCAACCCAGCACTGCCAGGTCCCCACTGACCCCTGTCCCAGCACTGCCAGGTCCCCACTGCCCCATGTCCCTCACACAGGTAGAGCTCTGGGCCCAGACCTCCCAGTGCTGGGCCAGGATCTATTGAGCTGTGAGGGATAACCTGTGGAAAAAGGGCTGAGGTTGGTCTCAGTTTTCCATTTTTAATATGTGTAAAAAAGCCTCCAAGGGGGAGATGTTTTTCTAGTGATTTTTAAGTAAGGAAAATCACATCTTTCCTGAATTTACTATAAGACTTCTTGAATGATGAGAGAATTATAATCAATGTTTTCTTTGATTTTAAATTGTTAAGGTTGATTTTTTTTTTTTTCACTTGACCTCTGAGGAGTATCATTTAAATCAAAATTTACCTCTATTTACTTTTCAAGGGGTTTTAAGCCTGCAGGAAAAATTAGCTGCTAATTGACCAGTTGCCAGCTTTAATATTTCAAAGCAACAGTTTGATTTGCTCTTCAGTCATCTAAAGAAGTTGGGTTTTTTTGGGTTTTTTTTTGTTTTTTTTAATCCAAACTGAATTAAAAATTGCTTGAATGACCAGAGGGGAAGAAGAGGCTTTTTTTTTTTCCCTTTGCAGATTACCATTAATCAGATCTGAATAATCAGCTAACTGAATAGACACTGCCTAACACTGAGTGCTGTCAGTGGGGCTACAGTGTTAGCATTTTGGAAAGTCTGACACAAAAAGCCATACATCTGAGAGCAAAATTTCCAGTTCTGGTAAAGAAATAGAGACAGACAACACAAAATCAGGATGGTGCAGTAAAAGTGGATATCTTCAGAAGCAGTGAAAACAGGAGTAAAATAACCAAGGGGGGGGAAAAAAAAAAACAACAAAGAAGAAAAGTGCATAAAAGTGGAAAATTATAGCAGTAGTATCGAGCTCATTTAGGAAATTAATAACACACATATAAATCATATTCAGGAAAGCATTTAATTACTGGTTAGTATTGTGCATAGGATATCCTGATGGCTTAGAAGAAACAGAGCCATAGCCTAGGGAGGTCTGTGAGGAGCAGCACACGGGGATACACACAATGTAGGGCGAGGTGACAGGAGCCACAAGTTCAATATTTGCCACTACGACAAGTTTCCTGAAGGAAACACAAGCACAGAATTTCTCTTGGTGGCAAATGCTTCATTAAAAACGTTTTTGATGCTTGAATGACCTGTAAGAAAACCTTAACTCAAGTGTTTACTGGCAGACTGCACGTTTAAAATACGGAACTATGCCAAAAAATTTGTTCCTCTGAAAAGAACGAGTTACGTTAAACCCATTTTCTCTTTTCTCTCGTCATTCATTATTCTCATTATTTCTTTTATCTCTCTCAAGGCCTCCTGCTTGCAGAGAGCCCCACAGCAATATGGGTTACACGTTAATGATTGTACACGTAGAGATTTTAAAGGCTTTCCATTTTAGCAATAGCCTGCTGCAGTTTAACCGGGCCGATCACTGCCGTAAATACGAAGAGAGAGTTTTTTCTGTGGTTTCTGAGAGGGTTTTTTTTTGTGACTAAAGGCTGCCCTACCATTTCTGCAACAGACCCCGTCGCAGCAGAGCAGCATCCTGGACAATGGGCAGGAGGAGGTGGGCAGCCAGTGGAACCCCTACCCGCTGGGGCGGCGGGACGTGCCACCGGACACCAGCACCAAGAAGGTAAGAGCGCGAGCGGAGCTGCCGCCGTTCCCTCGGCCCAGGGCAGCCCTGGGAGGAGTAGAACAGGTTCACTGGGGCAGCTTGGGACACGTGGGTGTCTGTGTCAGGGTTTGAAGCACTGATTGTTGTGAATTTTCACCCCCACTACCTGGTTTTGGGTCTTTATTAGTTACAGCTCTGGCACGTGAAGGGGCACGGGGGCCTTGGCAGGTGCCTTTCTGCACTCCCCTTCTTGTCCTTAAAAGTCTTTGTTCCCATTTTTCATTTCAATTGCACTCTTCAGTTGATGATGATAAATAAATGTGTTGAGATGGAGGCCAGGCAGCGCCTGCACAGCCACAGTTTTGGCAGAGACAGCCTGGGCCACACTGCATTTGTCAGTGAACTCACTAGAAAAAGGGTCTGGTTTCTAGTACCTTGATGTTGAATTCCAGTGCTTGGAGCTGGGCTGTTTCTGTGAAAACACTGGCTGCTCTCTGCTCCTCGACTGAGAAACTGATGGGTTTCAAATGCTCTAATCATTCAGCTGCAGAAGGGGGGATCTTGTCAAACCAAACCGTGTTTGCAATCAGCTTTAGGACGTGGAGCCACAGATGTGGGCACTGATAATGATGTTGATGGTTATCTGTATGGAGGTTGGTCCTCCTCTTTCCTGAAGGGAAGGGAATAAAAGCAGTGTGACAGTCATGATGTGCACACCAATAGCTTCCTGTAGTGTAATTAACTGTCAGCACTGATGAGGAACATGTCTCCCTGCTGGCCTCACATCTTTGGATCCAAGATGAAGCCATCATCAGAAGGAGCAGCCGTTGACTTCATACAAAAGAGGCAGCAGGAGGTACACGTGTAGCAGAGAACTGCTTGAAGATGGGAGACAAAAGCCATTGCACCCAGAAACTCCTTCCCAGGCATGGGAGGGTGAGGAGAAGGGTGCCCTGACATCACTGATGGAGCTGGCTCTGACAGCCAAGTTATTCGAGGGGTTCCTTCATCCTGTGACATGGAAGAAACTAGGCTAAGTCATTTAGGAGGAGGCACTGCTTATCTTCACTGCCATATTGGGCCAAAACCTGTGTTTTGTGTCCAGCACGGCCCATGTGCATCATCCCTGTTCCTGCAGAGAGAAACTGCAGCTTCTGTGTCCTTGGGAGTATTTCAGCATCTCCCTGCTCAGCTGTGGTGAGCACAAACATTGCATAACCTACCGAAATCTGCCCAACTCCTGGAGCAATCCATTGTTACAGAGACTTTAATTACACTGTAAATATTGGACACTGAGCTGAAAATATTAAATTTCGTGGTGAACATTCAATAAAGAACACAAATGAAATTGGGGAAGCAGTCTGCATAAGAGAGACTTTTTCCTGCAGAATAAGTATTTCCTATTTCTGAGAAAGGCAGCTTACCCATCTCCAGCCAGAGCCACAGTGTGGACACACAAGGAGCAGTGATATGATCTTTTCAAAGTCTATTAAGAGGAGTGAGAAGATGAATTCTGAAAGTTGTTTACCCTCCATCCTCAGCAGTGTGCTGTTTTGACAGTGCTCATCTCCTCTCCGTGGAAAGTCACCTCAAATCTCTTGGTTTCCCAGCATCTGGGGATTAAAATACAGCAATTATGTCAAGCCAGGCTCCGAAAATCTTCCCTGGGATTGAAGTTCAATGTAACCATTTAATTATCTAGATTATGATGGCTGTTGTGTATACCAGGTAGGGTGGGAATACTGTGTGGTAATCACCACATCATTCTGTGGGGCCCGAGGGGTTGTTTCCATCTTTTTTTGCTGTTCAGCATTCAGATTAAATGCTGATTTTATTTTAAATATGACCATTTATGTCATCATCCCACAAATTATGTGCTGTTTCTCCTATGGAAAAGTTGGATATTTTAATCTTCACATTGATAATCCACTGATTTATTAGAAGACTGCAGTATTTATGGTTCCTGGAAGATGACTTCTTCTGCATGTCAACAAGACAAAACCCAGCCACGTGCCTGATCAAGTCAGTTGGATTCTAAGCTACTTGTTCCTCAATAAAAAGGGAAGGGATAGAAGTGGGGGATCACCAAAAGGGAACCTGGAAATCACTCTGTATGAGATGGAGAAGTTGAAGAGTAAGAATGAAGCTGGAAGGTTCATTCTACTTCATTTCCAGCATCTGCTGTTCAGTAGAATCACAGAATCATTTTGATTGGAAGAGACCTTTAAGATCATCGAGTCCAACTATTCCCCCAGCACTGCCAGGTCCCCACTGCCCCGTGTCCCTCAGCACCACATCTATACATCTTTTAAATCCCTTCAGGGATGATCTTTTAACCTGATAAAGAAGATTTGAGGTTTTTCAGCGAATCAGCGCAAGATTTTTGGTATTTGAGATAGATATCTTCTGAGGCAGACCATGCACTTGCTGCAGGCTGCTGTGGTGGACATGGGATCATATCTGGGGCAACAGGCAGAATTCAGGGGATTCTGCTTTTTTGGGATTCTGTCATGGTGAGGATGACACGACATGAAGTACAGACCACGCTGCACACAGTCCCCTGCTCCCCTTGTATCTGCACGGCCCAGGGTGCCATGGATTCAGCCATCCCCCGTGGACGGGGCTCAAGGCCACCAGGGGGTTACAAAAAGCTAAAAATCTGTCTTTTTTAAAAGTTTTTGAGTTTCCTTCTGTTGTGATCTTGGCTGAACTGAAGGTTTCCCTGACCTGTGAAGCGGGACGTGCTCAGTACAGATTGACTTCACCAGGCTGCTCTTGGAGTAAGTTTGCCAATGTCTCCGAAGCACTTCCATCTACTCTTGAAGACTGAAGATTTGGGCACAAGGAGTAAGAGGCTCCTCTGTCATTATTCACTTCGAGACTAATCCCTTTTGTACTGCAATGAAGAACTCTCAGACATGTACTCTGCCTAATCCCTTTATTTCAAGTGTCATTGACAAATAAATAAGCCAGAGCAGGTCGTTTTTGCTCACAGTCCCTGCACATCTTGCTGGGATTCTGTGCTCAGGGACACGAGTAGCTCTGACTGTACCTGTAGTAATGATGTGTTCTGCAGACAAATCTTGAAAATCCATTAAGATGCATCTTTGCTATGGCACAAGCTCTTAACTCTAAAGCCCTGGCTGCTGTAAATTTCAAGGTCAGATGACTGGCCAGTGGGTAAGAAATGTTTTGATCTTGTATTAAATTGAATCTTGTCTAAAATACACTCTCACAATTGGTGACCTTTCCACCCCGGATGACAAAGGTTCATTAGGAGTGAGGATTAGACCTTCATGATGAGACGTGGTTGTGTCATTGGCTGGAGCCAACCATGGGAGGCATCAGTTTGAGCCTGTTTTGTCTGTAGAGACTTGGCAGATGTTGAGACAGGCAGTCCTGAAGCTCTCTCACGTTCAGGTTAATCGTGATGTGCACAGGCTGAGGCATGGATGTAATCTGGGAACTCTAAGTAACCTCAGAGTGATGTTTCATGGAGTGAATAACATTTGATCACACAACAGAGCGTGAATTCTGTTTGCTCCCCCACGGCTGAGTTCCGTGTGATTATTTCTAAGCAGCAACATCTGGATGCTGTAAAGATGGAAAGTATCACATTGTCCCGAGTGGATTTGTGTTGCAAAGATTTGCCTCAAGTGTTTCTGTAATTCACATGCCCAAATAGAGGCTGTGTGTTGAAGGGTAAGCAAGTGTGCTGCTGTAGCACGTCATGAGCAGAACACAGAAAGCAAAGCTCACCTGGTAGAGAGCAGAACTCTGATAATTTGATTAATTATCTTTTATAAAATCCTCATTCCTCCCTAGGACAAGGCATAGGATTGAACTGACTCTGCTTTCCATACTGGCCAGCGTCTGTATGTGTGTTATAAATCTGATTCCAGAGTACCCTCAGCTAAAAACCAACCCCATTCCAGGACCTTCAGAGTGTGCTATGATGAATAATCCACTTCACTTCAATCTATTAAATGTTTTCAGTTCACAAAACATCCTGAGCAGAAGGATCTATCCTGACATGAGGAAAAAAAACCAAAGATTTCCGTGGAGAAAAGATAAAATATTTGGGTAATTTCCCTTAAACCTCCCAGGGTTGCTGAGTGCAAGGGGCATGTCCTTGCTGCTTTCGATCACGGGTTTGTCCCGTGGGGGTCAAAAGGCCAACCTCTGATAAGACTGAAGAGGTTTGCTTTGACTCGACTCTGCAAGTTGTAATAATTGCTTCTTTTCAGCTCCCTGAATTTCTGGCCTAACGGGTTCCGTTACCCACAGGCAGGTAGGCACATCCAGACCCTGATGGGATCCCAAAGCCTGCAGCACCGGAGCCGGGAGCAGCCGTTCGAGGGCGGCATGAACAAAGTGACCATCCAGCAGTACCAGCCCCCGCTGCCCATCCAGGTGCCCTCCTCCCAGGGCTCCCGCGCGCCCCCGCCCGCCCGCTGCCTCATCCAGACCAAGGGCCAGAGGAGCACCGACGCCTACCAGGAGCAGGTGAGAGGCCCTGTCTCTAAAATAACTCTTTGGACAAAACAAAAATGGGTTGGTTTTTATTTTTTGCTGCCCTGGATACCCAGGCGGCGCTGGGCATGGCTGGGCTGGGGGCAGGGGAGCGTCTCCTCTTCTCTAGCACCAAGGGCTCTGCAGTTTTTTTGGCTTGGATGGAGCAGGCGACACGATCTAGCACTGAGGTTCCTCAGCAGAGATGACATCACCGGGTCCACTGGATTAATCTGCCATTTCTGCCCATTCCCCAGTAACCCAGTTCAGAGCTCACCATGCGGCATGCTTGGGAAGATGCTGATCAGGGGAGCGTCTCCTCTTCTCTAGCACCAAGGGCTCTGCAGTTTTTTTGGCTTGGATGGAGCAGGCGACACGATCTAGCACTGAGGTTCCTCAGCAGAGATGACATCACCGGGTCCACTGGATTAATCTGCCATTTCTGCCCATTCCCCAGTAACCCAGTTCAGAGCTCACCATGCGGCATGCTTGGGAAGATGCTGATCTCCT